AGTGAAGTGGATGAGTGGTTGCCAAGGTTTTCAATACTGGAGAGTTCACCCAATGGATCACTGAGTTGAGAAGTTAAAGAGGCAGAACCATCGTCGGGTCTGGCATCAGAGATTTGTCAGAGGTGGCATGTTTGTGAGTCGCGGAGCCAGAAATGGGGCTCGGGGACTTTTGGTATCAGCCTGTCTGCAGTTCCTTGCGTTTGCCCAACTTGTGGTTTCTCTCCCTTTTACTCTTCTTAGCGAGAGAAGCCAACAACAATTTGGAGGTTGACCCCGATGTCTTGGGGGACCAACAGTAAGGAAAAGACCAGCTTGTGTGTAAAACAGCAACACTGAAGAACCGAATGAAGGCAGGAGGGGGAGGATCGACCTTGCAAGTCACTGCAGGAACTGCCTGGTTCTTAGCTTTGCAAGAGCTGCACAGCTATCTTAATTAATAGCTGGACTGGATAGAGCAAGGGGTAGCATCTTAACAGATCCTTCCAAGGATAAAAGCCAAAAAGGTGGGGCGTGGGGCGGGGGGAGGGAAGCACGCGTCTTTTGGGCAGGATTTTTCCTACCTTTCAGCTGATTTTAATCACTGTTTGTATTTTGGGAACCACTGAAGGACATTGAATTTTCCTTTGGTCCTATAAGTATTGTTAATCAAGGTTGCCTTGCCTTTTCTTTATAATAAAAGTACTTTTGTCTGATTTACTGAACTGGAGTGTAGAGCCTGAAGCTGACTATCCTAATAGAACCCAAAGCCTGCATCATACACCGACATTCCTATGTCAGGTGGAGTTTAGTCGAGGTATGCGAGGACTGGCTCGGAGGTACAATATGCCTTCTTGGTGCCAAGGTCAATTTGCCTTTTTCTCCAATGGTAAAAGTTTTGCTGGCCATTTTGGAAGGGGCCAAGGAGGATTCTAGTAATGCTACCTGGAGCCTCGCTGCTTGATTTTTCCTGGTTTGCTTAGAAAATTGTGAGCAATGGACACAGGAATCTGTCCAGTGCACTTCCCCCAGACAGAGGAAGCACAAAGAATGGCCATCCATTGCTCCTGCACCAGGAACACCTCTTAAAGAACCACCACATAGACCGGGAGGGGGGGGCAGGATCTCCTGTCGACAACTGCACACCAGCATTTGGCGAATCAGGATGCTGTTCCTGGGATGGCTGTCCTTTTACTTCCAGCTGCTTTCTGTGCTGGGGACTTCGAAAACTCCCTCTTATGCCAGTCCCGATTAGTGTGGTACCTCTGCCCTCCATAGACTTCAGCCAGTCGCTCCACCCACTGTCCTGCTTCTCGAAGGGTAGAAGGGCTCTTGTCCACCTGGGGGCACCTAATGTACTCAGGAAGAAGAGTCAGGAACCGGTAAATGCACATCAGGGCCTTGAAGTCAGCCAAGGTCTTGGCATCAGCAACCTCCACCCACAAGTCATAGGCTTTTCCCAGTCTGTGTATTAACTGGGTAGAACTCTTTCC